GAGGGAGCCGGGGCGGGGCGGGACATCTCTCTACCTGACAAAGCCTGCGCAAAGCCCGCTGGTTGGTCAGTTTGTACTTCCAGGTAAGATACCAGCTCCGCTTCTTCCGAGCCCCAAAGGGCTTGATGAGGGAGCTGGGCTTCCAGTCGTCCATGCCGGGTTGGGGAGTCACCACTGTCCTGGCCAACCCATGCCTTCAGGAATCTGAGAGGACCAGAGGGTCACAGGGAGTCAGGTGTTCCTCCCAAAGTCTGATGCCTTCTGGGGAGCCCAGGGAGGACCCCCCGCAACTCCTCCCTCCCATCATTCAGGCTGTGTGACCCGGGAAAAGTGGCCCAACTGCTCTGGAAAGGAAGCCTCGGAGGGGTCAGCCCGCCTGGAGACTCCCGTGGGGCGGGGGAGCAGCGGAGCCGCCCGGGGCCCCAGCGCAGAGGCCAAGTAATCAGCTCTCAGGTTCAGCAGCCCCTAAAAGGGCCAAGCCCCGGCCCTCCTAGTCCCGGGGTGCGCCAGGGGCACAGGCCCCCCTCAGCCCCGGCCCCCAATCCTCCAGCCCCAGTCCTCCTAGTCCCGGGGTGCGCCGGGGCACAGACCCCCCCCGCCCCGGCCCCCAATCCTCCAGCCCCGGCCCTCCTAGTCCTGGGGTGCGCCAGGACACAGACAGCCCCTAGCCGGGCCCCCAATCCCCCAGCCCCGGCCCTCCTAGTCCGGGGTGCGCCGGGGCACCCCCCCCTCCAGCCCCGGCCCCCAGGCCCCAGCCCCGGGCGCCCTCACCCTCTCCCACCCGGCCCCGCTCCCCGCCGCAAACCACTCACGGCTCAGGGCGCCCGGGCCCCGCTCGGGCCCCTCTCGGGCCCGCACTGCTCCGCCCGGCGCGCCGCGGCCTCCGCCTCCTCCATGCCGCTGGCCGCCCCGCCCCGGCCGGCCCGGCCCGCCTCCCCGCTTCCGCCGCCGCCGCGGGGTGAGAGGGCGGCGGGCGGCGCTTAGGGCGGCGCTTAGGGCGGCGCTTAGGGCGGCGCTTAGGGCGGCGGCGGGACCGCGAGCGCTGGCTTCCCCCGCGGCTTCGCAACGGGCGGCGGGGCGGCTGCGGGGGGGCAGCGGGGGGGCCCCAGCGCCGCGGGGGGCAAGCCCGGCCGCAGTCGGAGCCCCAGCGCCTTGACTAGCCCGCTCCACGCCAGGGTCAGCGGGCCTTCGGGCCTGGGCGCCGCCGCCGCGCCCCTGGCCTGCGCAAGGGTGTCTTCGGAGGCCGAGGGGAATTAAAACCCGCTGCTACCTCTAGCCTAGACCTGGGGCAGGTCTCTTCACCTTGGGCTCAGCCCGGATTGCCCGGTCTGTGAGATGGGGTGCGCTTACAGGATGCTTACGCCGTGCAGTCACCGTTCCAAGCACTTGGCCGACATCAGCTCATTTCGTTCGGCAACAGCTCCTTGAGGTAGATATTCTTAGTAACGAGGCCCCAGGGCACAAAGCTGGGGGAGCTAGAACTCAAACCTCAGTATCACATCTCCAGATTCCACCCCTAACCCCTGCCCTATCCTGACAAGAATAATAGCGTTGTTGTGAAGCTTTAATGACATAATATATACAAAGCACTTAGCTGAACACAGTGGGTCTTAAACTTCACCTTGCATCAGAATCACTCTGAGGGCGTCTTAAAACACAAATTGCTGGGCCCCGTTCTGGGTTTTCGATTCAATAGTCTGGGGCAGAGCAGAAGACTGCATTTCTAACACGTTTCTAGATGATGGTGATGCTTACTTGAAGTGAGTACCTAGCCGTGAAAGTTTTAAGCAGAGAAGTGATAGAGTCCTATTTAAGAGAAATGTGCTGTTTTATGGAGAATGTTTTAAAAGGAAATGGAGGAAATCAGAAGACCAGTTAGAGTTTTTGAGTTCTCCATATTCCACCTGCTTCCTAAGCGGTGGGATGGTATCGTCCAAAATGTTAACAGTGCTTATCTTTTTTTTTTTTTAATTTTATTTATTCATGAGAGACACACAGAGGCAGAGACACAGGCAGAGGGAAAAGCAGGCTCCTCTCAGGGATCCCGATGTGGGACTCAATCCCTGGACCTGGACGCTCAAACACTGAGCCACCCAGGTGTCCCTAACAGTACTTATCTTAGAAGTCCAAGTATTGGATGATTTTTCCTAATAAGTATGTATTAGAGAATAGAAGAAAATCCAACACATCTTATTGGCATTTAAAAAAGATATCTCAAAAAAAAAAAAAAAACAAAAATAAAATAAAAAAGATATCTCTCAGGGCTCCTTTCTGATCTTTGCTTCTCACTCTTCAGGGAAGATCTTATGCACTCTCCTGACCTCTATTACCACCAACATTCTTATGCTCATGTCTGCAGTCCTAACATTTCTCCTGAGTTCTAGGCTGACCTGGGTCTGACTGCCTGCTGGACATCTTCACAGGGTCCTCCATCTCAATGTAACCCCTGCTGTGATCATCTCTTCCCATTTCTAGACCTCTTCCTGGGTTCCCTTCCTTTTTGAATGGCATCAGGCTAAACAGCTGAGAGTCACCATTGAATCCTCTTCTCCAGCAACAAGTCCAGGTCTGTTTGCTCCCCCCTGTATTCTCTGTACCACACACACTGGCTAGCAATTAGTAGACTCTCCATAATATTATTGAAATCCTTGCTTTTTTAAACAAGCATTCATAAATGCCACTATAAATAAATCAACATAGCCAGTCACCAAGTCTTGTCAATCTTACCTCCTTAAGAGTTCTCCATTCTGGGCAGCCCAGATGGCTCAGTGGTTTAGTGCTGCCTTCCGCCCAGGGCGTGATCCTGGAGACCCAGGACCGAGTCCCACGTCAAGCTCCCTGCATGGAGCCTGCTTCTCCCTCCGCCTGTGTCTCTGCCTCTGTATCTCTCATGAATAAGTAAATAAAATATTTTTTTTAAAAAAAGAGTTATCCATTCTGGTCTTTTTTTTTGGATTTTATTTATTCATTCATGAGAGATACACAGAGAGAGGCAGAGACATAGGCAGAGGGAGAAACAGGCTCCCTGTGGGAGGCCTGATGAGGGACTCAATCCCTGGACCCTGGTATCAGGACCTGAGCCACAGGCAGACACTCAGCTACTGAGCCACCCAAGTGCCCCCTGGTCTAACTCTTCTGCAACCTCACAACCAGCCCCCTTGTCCAGGCCATTTCAGTTTCTTGATTTCCAATCAATTTCCTTGACTCCAGATTTGTACCCCTCCAATCCTTTCCCCTTGGAAAATTCAGAGTAATTTTTCAAAAAGGCAAATCTGTTTTTTTAACCTCTGATTTAAAACCCTTCCGTTGGGATCCCTGGGTGGCACAGCGGTTTGGCGCCTGCCTTTGGCCCAGGGCGCGATCCTGGAGACCCAGGATCGAATCCCACATCGGGCTCCCGGTGCATGGAGCCTGCTTCTCCCTCTGCCTGTATCTCTGCCTCTCTCTCTCTCTCTCTCTCTGTGACTATCATAAATAAATAAAAATTAAAAAAAAAATTTAAAAAAAAAAAAAATAAAACCCTTCCGTTGACCAACAGATACTAAGGAAAAATATTTTACTTAAGGTTACAAAAGTAACCGTTTGATGAACTAAAAATAGTGATAGAAATATATAGGGTGAATGGAGGAGGGGAAATACAGAGTATAAGTGCAATAAATCATATTGATTATATTAGGAAGTTGGTAGACAATATTTAAAATTAAGAAATAGTTGTACTGTATAAGCGTATGTGGGGTTATGTGTATAAACACCAGAAAAAAAAAAAAAGCTGAATGTTGTTGCCTCTGGGAGTGGGGCTAGAGGTGGGAAAGGGTAGAGCAGGTTAGCTATCTTTGCATTGTAAATCCTTCTGTGACCATGCGCTGGAATTACTTGGATTAAACACCCAAATCAAGCTAAAACAAAAAAGTTTTTCATGGTTCCCCATGGCCTATAAAATACAACCCAAGCACCATAGAACCATCTTCTATAGCCACATTACTCCAAGTGTGGTCCCTCGATCAGCAACATGGCCATCACCTGGGAGCTTGTTAGAAAAGACGAACCTCAGGCTCCATCCCAGATCTACAGAATCACAATCTGCATTTTAACAAGGCTTGCAGAAAATTCAAATGCAGTCAAGCTTAAGAAGCATCAGTCTAAAAAAAAAAAAAAAAAAAAGCAAAAAAAAACAAAAAACAAAAAAAAACATCAGTCTACAGGATCAAGCATGATCTGGCGGACCTGGACTTTTTTATCTTCAATACTGGTTGCTTCTCATTGGCCAGAAGTATGTTATTTTCTACTTCTTTAATCTAAACTCAGTGGCAGGGCACCCAGCTGGCTTAGTCAGAAGAGCATGTAACTCTTGGTCTCTGGGTCTGAGTTCCAACTCTACGTTGGGCATAGAGATTACTTTTTTTTTTTTTTTTTTAAGATTTTATTTATTTAAGAGAGGGAGAGGGAGAAGCAGACTCCCTCCTAAGCAGGGAGCCTGATGCAGGGTTCCTTCCATCCTTGGACCCTGGGATCATGACCTGAGCTGAAGGCAGACACTTAACCCACTGAGCTACCCAGGTGCCCTAGAGATTACTTTAGATTAAATGAATAAATAAACTTAAAAAAATAAATTCCGTGGCTACACTGAAAGTGCATGTGGGTGTCAGTAGCTAGCTAGATTCTAACCACTGTTCTAGACCCAACCCTCCCACCCCACCCCAGGAAGCCTTTCAAAACCCTCTGCGGTTCTGGGTCACCACTGTTCCTTAAACTCCCCTACGGCTGAGGGTGCTTAGGCTTTGTTCAGCAAACACTTATCGAACGCCTGCTGTATGCCTGCTGTATGCCTGCTGTATGCCGGGCCGGATTCAGTCGGCAGAATGGGGAGAAGGCACTGAACTCTGCTAGCGCTCCTTCAAGTACAAATCCAAGTACATACAGATCGCCCAGCCCCACCCATTCCAGGGCCAGACGTGTGTGCGCAGCACTCGAACACACACACGCACAGGCACAGACACGCACGCACGCCGGCACGTCTGCGCGGCTTTTCTGAGAGTTACGGTGCCCTCGCCCGCCCCCGCGCGGCGCGGGCGGGGACCCACTGGTTCCGCTGGGCGCGGGCAGCCGGGAGACGAGGACCCCCGCGACCCAGCCCCAGCCGGCCGGCCGCCCGGTCCTCTTCAGCCGTAGGCCCGCATGGAGGGGACTGCGGAGTCCCAGACGCCTGACCTGCGAGATGTGGAGGGCAAGGTGGGCAGGAAGACCCCCGAAGGGCTGCTCCGCGGGCTGCGAGGTGAAGGGGAGCCGGGAACCTCTGGCGCCCCGCTGCTCCCGGGGGCGCCTGGCGCGGGCCAGGGCCTGGGGGACAAGATCATGGCGCTGAGGATGGAGCTGGTAAGTGTGGGCTGCGGGGGCCGGGGCCGGAGTCCCCAGCCGGGTTGGAAGGGACAGACTTATGCACCCAGAGTTGGGCTGGAGAGGCGAGAGTTAAAACTCCCTACCTAACTCCTCGGGATCCCTCCCAGATCAATCCTTAAACCCCGGGGTTCATTAATTGCCCCTCCCAAAGGTGAGTGGGGCGTTGATGGGTCCTGAAGACTTGAGGTGGGAGGCACTGGCTCCTGGAAGTTTTTCCTACCAAATAATTGGGAGGGGAGAGGTGAGGCTGGGAAGCACTGAGAACCTAGCAGAGCCCAAATCTCTCCCCACCCCACCCCACCCCTCCACCAGGGGCCATCTCTCCCCTGGCCACCGTTATGGGGCAACCAGTTTCTTCTTTTGGTGCAAACTGGGCCCAGAGTTTGCTCATCTGAGGCCTCAGTGTTCATGACAGGATTCAGCTTGGAAGAGATCTGGGTGAAAACTGCCTGGACTAGAGCCACTAAAAACATCCTCCCTTTCCCCAAACCCCCCTCCCCAACCCCCACTTAAAGTACTTGGAAGTTCCTAGAACCCCGGGCATCAGAGTAATAGCACCATCAGCATTGGCTTCATCGCCTCTGAGCCCCCCAGGTATACTGGATTTTTGTATCTCATACCTTCTTGGGGAGAAGAGAAGGAAACAGGCACCCTCCCCCTCCTTTGTTGCTGCTAGTCTAGATTCAGAGCCAGAAGGGCATTTGGGGCTGCCCAGGCTCCCCAAGGCCCTGGTTCCAGTGAAGGGGGTAATTTACACCTGCCACTACTTTGCAGCCAGTTCTGGGGAACTGAAGAATTCTCTCTGGCTCAGAACCAGGAGGCCACAGTGAGTGTGTCAGCTAATAGGTCTTTCTGGAGCCCACCATCTGCCTAGCTGGCCTGTGAGAGAGCAGAGGAGGGCATGGGGGCTCTTAGGCTGAGACCGGAGCCTTCTGGGCAGAGCAATCAGGGAAGGCTCCTTGGGGGAAGGATTTAAATGCCAAGTGTGTGCTTGGCCCTGAAGGTTGGAGGTAAATACCAAATTCTTCAGAGCAGGCCTGTGACTGCCCACCTGAGGGAGGGGCTTGACTTTGCTTTATTGTATAAAGTGGTGCCAGGCATCATGCTGAGCACTTGACAAAATATTCTCTTACTCCTCACAGCAACCCTATTAGGCAAGTGATATTTTATAGATAAAGAAACTGAGGCACCAAGAGGTTAAGCAACTGCCCAAGGTCGTACAAAAAGTAAAAAGCAGAGCCAGCCTTTGAACTCAGACCATCTGCCTGCACTTTACATCTTCACCATTGAGATCTGCTTTTGCCACTTTAAAGACTTTAAAGATGCTTTATGTCATTGAAGTGGGAAAAGCAGTCATCGTTTCCCCATCGCATAGATGAGGCAGGCTCCTGGCCTCACACAGGGAACCAGTGGAGGAGCCCTGCCTCTTCTTTGGTTCTGATTCTTTTGCCTTTGATGGAGATTACCTGTCTGTAAACTTTAAAGGGGGTACATTTAACTTCTGATTAGGTCTCTGCATTCTCAACCTCGCCGGGCCTGGGACTCTAGGCTGCCCATTGAAGGAGGGGGCCTGCTGGGGGCCAGAACAGGGAAAGGCTCCCTCCCTTATTCCTTTCTCCTTCCTTGGCCAAGATGTCATTGATGTCATTGTGTACTCAGCCCTGCCCACTGTGGGGGCTGGGCAGAGGGTTTCAGTGGCAGAACTGGTCCAAGCTCTCTGAACACAGTCCTTCAACTGTCCCTCTCCCAGCAATCATGCAGGGAGTGGGCAGTCATGCTCCTTAGGCCAAGGTTATTCCTGCCTCTAGGCTCCTTTTCCTCTTGCTTCCCTCCCCCTCTCCCAGGTTCAGTGAACCAGCCAGACTCTGGGGTTTGTGGGAAGGGAAACAATGGCAACCTCCCCTACTTAATTCTCCTACTCAAACAACTGTTGCTGCGACAACCCACCCTCACAGGGCAACCTGAAAAAAAGCTTTAGGCAAGGAGGGGGATGTCCTGGGTTCAAGTCCTGACTCAGCTTCTGAATCATTTTGAGGTCTTGAGTAGAGCCCTGACTTTCTGTTGGCCTCAGTTTTCCTGCCTCTTGGAGGATGAAGGGACAGGGGCTTGTGGGACCAGATAGTCCTACTAACGATAGTCTGAGAATCTCAATCCTTGGCCAGGGAGCTGAGCCTGGAATCTCCTGGCTTTACCCCAGGGCCTGATTTAGATTGAGCAAGGAGGAAGCCATACTCGTGACCCTGGGACTGAGCAGAGTCTGATGGGGAGGTGTTAAGAGGGGTAGTGGGGGACCTGAATCTCCTCAGGGAAGAGAACTGGGTTGGAGTGGCCTTTGAGGCTGTCTCTCTCCTGAGGTGCTTATCCCTTCTGTTTCCAAAGAGATGGTATGGAACGAGTGTTTCTTTTTCTGGCAAGAAAGTGTTGCTTTTTTCTATTCTGGGGAGCCATGCTGTCACAGTCAGGGAATCCCACTGTCGCAGGGCTATACAGTCTAGTTCTCAGATTCATTTCCCTTCAACACGGTAAAGCTCAACCCCCTAAATCCTAGAGACCACCAGAGAGGCCAAGGGTAGTAAAGGCAAGAGAATCACAGTGCTGAACCTGACCTATCTGATCTGAGGCTGTGTGCCATCAGAGAACTGTGCAGGGCCTGCTCTCAGGGAGCTCACAGGAAGGAGGGAGAGACTAGAAACTCTGGTACAGGATGACAAATTATTGGAACCCAGGGTGGGCTTTCTGGAAGAGTCTTCATTAAGGAGTGACATGGTCAGGTTTGTACTCTGGAAAGACATTTTAAAAAATTTTTTTTATTTTAATTTTTAATTTTTTAAACTTTTTTAAAAGATTTTATTTATTTATTCATGAGAGACACAGAGAGAAAGAGAGAGAGGCAGAGACACAGGCAGAGGGAGAAGCAGGCTCCATGTGGCAAGACAGACATGTGATTCGATCCGGGGTCTCCAGGATCACAACCTGGGCTGAAGGTGGCACTAAACCACTGAGTCACCTGGGCTGCCCTTTTTTTTTTTTAAAAAAAGATTTTATTTTTAAGTAATTTCTATACCCAACGTGGGGCTCGAACCTACAATCCCTAGATCAAGAGTTATATGCTCTGGAACACCTGGGTGGCTCAGAGGTTGAGCATCTGCCTTTGGCTCAGGGCGTGATCCCGGGGTCCTGGGATTGAGTCTCACATCGGGCTCCCTGCAGGGAGCCTGCTTCTCCCTCCACTTGTGTCTCTGCCCCTCTCTCTGTGTCTCTCATGAGTAAATAAATAAAATCTTAAAAAAAAAAAAAGAGTCATATGCTCTACTGACTGAGCTAGCTAGTCACTGGTGGAAAGGGCACTTTGAATTGGAAGGGATACACTCTGTGTCCTCTGGTTGGAATGCCTCTCTTCACTGCTTAGTCTGGCTAAGTCCTACTTAACCTCTATGCCTCAGCTCATGTGCCTTATTGTAGGAAGCATTTTCTTACCTGCCTGGGTTGGGTTATGGCCCTTTAGGTGGTCATGGCCCTCTGTATAACAGTCGTTTCCCCTAGCATTTGCCACATTGGATTTTAAGTGCTTGTATCCTTGTCTTAATTTACCCTTAGACTGTGAACTCTCTGAGATCAAGAAATGGTATCTTTTCTTCCTTTAACACAATGTGATGCCTATAAGAAACACTTAATGAATATTGTTTCATAACTGGACAGATTAAATCTATCTTAAGGAAGAGCAGAGAAGACTTCCTAGAGGAGGTGGCATTTGAGGCTGGGGCTTGAAGGATGAATAAAGTCAGCGGGAATTTCAAGATGGCAGATTGAACACATGCATTTACCTGTTTCCTTCTGAAACTTCACTAAAAAGCCAGTAGATGGATTATTTTAAAAGCCATGAAACTATTATGATAACAAACACAGGAGAGAAGATGATAGGAACAAAATTTTGGAAGCAGGAAAGCAGAAGGAAGAGTGGTAACTTAGTAGACCTGAAAAAAGCTAACTTCTAAGCCAGCAGCAAGGAAAGCTGAAAAGTAAAACATTTTGCACTACAGAAACCTTCAGAGGTCTCAGGACTTAGAAGCACCAGGTATTTCTGGAACTGGGGGCACAGATGAAGCTGAAAACAAAAGGGTTTGTGAATGTCTGCTTAAGAATCGTACTCTAGGGCAGCCCGGGTGGCTCAGCGGTTTAACGCCGCCTTCAGCCCAAGTTGTGATCCTGGAGACCCGGGATCGAGTTCCACATCGGGCTTCCTGCATGGAGCCTGCTTCTCCCTCTGCCTGGGTCTCTGCCTCTCTCTCTCTGTGTCTCTCATGAATAAATAAATAAAAATCTTTAAAAAAAAAAAAGAATCGTACTCTAAAATCCCCCCCCTAACTGGGCAACCAGGTGCCAGCCCCTTCTTTATTCTCACAGAAGATTGGAGAAGTAAGTTTTGGAAAAGAATAGTACAGAGGGAAGTGAGGAAGGGGAAGATGGGAGGGAAGGAAGGAGACAATATAGCAGAAGAATTATTTTTAGTCTGAGAAGTTTTGTTTAATACATTTAGTTTGATTATGGACTAGGACTGTTGGTCTCACTGTTAATTTATTTGCCCCCAGTAAGAAATGATTGAAGATAATCTCTTTTATTGTATGTCATTAATAATCTGTATAGTTTGTAGCATTTTGGTTATTTTATGTCCATATCTCCTTATTGAAAATGCAAGTTTCAAAAAAAAAAAAAAAGAAAGAAAGAAAGAAAAGAAAATGTAAGTTTCTATCTAGCAGGGACAGTTTCTCCATAATCTTTGTAATCAGTAGACAAACCCAAAAATCATTTGTTTAATAGAATTAGAGTTGTGATATTATTCCAAAATCAGAAAAAATTTCAGGTAGAGAATTTTGTTCTGTGCTTATGTATGCTGAGTAAGTCGAGCATAGAAATAACATATAAGGGATCCCTGGATGGCGCAGCGGTTTAGCACCTGCCTTTGGCCCAGGGCGCAA